GGTGCTGGGATTTGAACCTGGGTCTTCTGCAAGAACAACCAGTGTTCTTAACTGCTGAGCCATCTCTCCAGCCCCATGAAACTAATAACAATATGTTCTTATGAATTTCAAACATAGATGATATAGATAATGGAAATACATAATGTCAACTTTATAATTTCCCATATATTCTAGATTTTTCTCTAAGCAAATAATATATATATGTGTACATATATTTAAATGTGTGTGTGTGTAGAATGTGCAGGAGTGCTTTATTAAAAGCCCTGGGTTGGGCCAGTGAGGTGGCTCAGTGAATAAAGAGGTGCTTGCCACCAGGCCTGAGGACCTGAGTTTGATCCCGAGGCCCCACATGGTGGAAAGAGAAAATTGACTCCTGCAAGGGGTCCTCTCTGACTTTACATGTGTGCTGTGGTGTGTGCATGTGTACGAGTACACACATACATTAAATAAATAAAGGTAATTTTAAACATTATTTAACAGTGGTTTTTGTTTGTTTGCTTTGTTTGTTTTATTTGTTTTACTTGTTTGAGACAGGGTCTCCCTGTAGCCCCAGCTGGCCTGGAACCCTCTATGTAGACCAGCTGGCCTAGATCTTACAGAGATCCAACTGTCTACCTCCTGAGTACTGGGATTAAAGGCATGCACCACCGTGCCCAGCCAACAATGTTTTTTGGTTTTTTTTTTAAATTTTAGGAGCTGGAGAGATGACTTAGCAGTGAAGAACACTGGGTGCTCTTGCAGAGGACCCCAGCCGGGGCCTATCAACCCTCCATAACTATGGTTTCAAAGGATCTAATACTGTCTTCTGGCCTCCGCTGGCATTGCATGCACTTACATACATGCAAGCAAACATTCATATACATACAATAAAAATAAAATACTCAAAATATTATTTTAATTATTTAAAAAGACACTGGGTCATATTAAACATATTCTACAACTTGCAGAATCCACTCTGATACAATCCATGTAAGTTCATACAGATCTGTTCATTTGTTTTTATATCTCTATGTATTTTGTTGTAAAGACTGCTACATTTCCTGCTGGAGAACATTGGGTCTGTTTTCAATTTCCACAAATATGAGCAGTGATGCAGTGAATGAATATTTGGGTACATCTGCAGACTATATTTGCAGAAACAGAAATGCAGAATAAAAGACAGACTTTGTCTGGGGATGGAGCTTAGTTGATAGAGTGCTTGCCTAGTGTGCAGGAAGCCCTGACTTTGATCTCCAGCACTGCATAAACCAACTATGGTGCTGCAAACCTGTGAACTCAGCACTTGGGAGGTGGAGGGAGGAGGATCAGAAGTTCAAGGTGAGCCTGACCTAGAGACTCTGGAAGACAAATAAATATTAAAAGAAAATGAAACAAGCAATTTCTGACAGGTGGAATTCCAGATTTCCCTCCCCAGAAGCTTTGTATTTGCACAGGGAATATGTATCTTTTGCCTACACCCTCAATAACACTGGGTTTCTATAATCGCTGTCTACAAGAACTTGTCTTTTCTTGCACTATTGTTATTTATCTTTTCACATGCTTGTAGGTTGCTTTATTTCTTCTATTTGAAATGATCTGTCCATCTTCTCTGTCCATCTAGATATGAGGTTGTCTTGCACATAGATTTGTTGGATATCTTTAAATGTATCAGCACATTACTCTCTACCTATAACATTTTATGGAAAATTTCTCCCTATGTATTGTCAAACTGACTATTTTTTTTTAAGTTCTAATTAGGAACTTTTCTATCATAACCCAATGTTCGATGTATTATATAAAGCATGAAATGGGCTTAGCAACTCTAATATAAAGGTAGCTAAAATGAAAATTAAAAATAAGTGAGAAAACATTTCCTATTTCTACCCGTGTTCTTTGTGCCTAACTTAGGTATTTGTGATCTAGTTGATTTGGGTTTCTGCTGTTTCTTTTTAGTATATCAAGTACTACATTCACCGAATCCCAAGAAGCCGGGAGGTTCAGCAGCCCTGGCTCTCCACAGTGTTCACCACTTTGCGCTCCATGTGGCTTTCCTTTCCCCTGGTTCAGCGAATAAAGCCAGACCTGGTACGTAAGACTGTTCCCAGGAGAGACGGTAACTCTCCTGTAAATTTTCATTACTAATGAGATTTATTGATTTATTCAACAACTACCATTTATCAATGTGCGAAGTAGTTTACCTGACTTTTTAGTAAGGTATGCCAAAACTTATCATTTAAATGAACTTTGGTGAAAGAGGTAAGAAATTTGCCTTCCTATCTATAACTGAACTCAGAGTTTTCCATTTTCCTTTTCTTGTGATGAACATCAGTCGAGTCTCTTTAACCAGTGTTCATGGATTGTTTACCCATGGTTCCTGACCGACACCATGTGGTAGTCAATTCTTAACTTTTTTCAGTAGTCTTGTTGGCATATGTTAAGGCTTTTACCAAATATGGCATGTGGTAGTCATAATTTCATATATATTCAAGTTTTCATGGAAAAGATTACAGAAAACAGAAAGATGAAAACAGTACATTCTGTGTTCCTCTGCACTTCAAGCTCTCTTGTGGTCTTTGTGGTAAAGCTGCAGTATTAAATTCCAAATACACTTCGGTAGGCAGTGCAGATCAGTGGATGTGTATCACAGTGGAGTACCCAGCTCTTGAATGATGCTCTCACTCTTATGGCAGGCTTCAATCTACAGCACTGAATGAACCAGATATGGTAATGCCAGCCTGTAAACCCAGCACTTGGGAGGTGGAGGGAGGAGGTTCCAGAAGTTCAAAGGTAGGCTGTAGAGATGGCTCAGAGATTAAGAGCACTAGCCACTCTTGCAGAGGACCTGGATTCAGTTCTCAGCACCCACACAGAGGCTTAGAATCATCTGTACCTCCAGTTCCAGGGAACCTGACGCCCCTCTTCTGACCTCCATGGGTATGGCATAACACAGATGAACTTACAGATATGCAGGCAATATACTCATACACATAAATTAAAAATAGTAAATACAATATCTTTTAAAAAAAGAAGTTCAAAGGTATTCTAGGCTATAGCCTGAAAGAAAATTCTGCTTACTTCCCAGATACATGAGGCCTGGCAAAGTATACGTTATTCTTGTGAATAATTGAGCCAAAATGTGTTTAGCTTCAATGATTTAGAAAGCTCTCTATTGGTTTGATTATTGGCTAGATTTTATATGATTCAAATCCTCCTTTTGGAACAGAATTTAAAAATCTTCTTATTTTCTGACTTGTATCATCCCAGATTAATTTTGTACATATTTATTTTTAATTCTTTTGTCAAAATAAATCTTTTCAGAGGTGTCATTTTGAGACAGGGTCTCCCAGTAGCTCCAGCTTGGCCTGGAACTCTCTATGAAGACCTTGGCCTTGAACTCACAGAGCTCTGCCTACCTCTGCCTCCCGAGTGCTGGGGTTAAAGGTGTGCACCACAACACACAGCTTGTCAAAATAAATTTATCTCGCAGTCTGCAACCACATTTTTACCATGTAGTATTCAAATATCTTCCAAGTTTATTATTGGCCTCAAATATTTAACATATTTCTCAACTCAAGAGGTAAGCCAGGTGTGTTGGCACACATCTTTAGCCCCAGCACTCAGGAGGCAGAGGCAGGTGGATCTCTGTGAGATCAAAGCCAGCCTGGTCTACATCATGAGTTTCAGCTGGGGCTAGAACTGCACAGTGAATGCATGCATGAGTGTACTTAACATACACCAATAAATAAATAAATAAATAAATAAATAAATAAATAAACAAACAAACAAATTAAAAATAAAAACCTAAAAAGACCAAAAAATAGAAAATAAAAGTAGAAGAGATACAAATTAGAGGAGGAAAAAGGGTCTTCGCATTTTATTTTAAGACGTGTTAAATATCTTTTATTTGATATTATACATAAAGCACAGTAAAATGCACTTTAGTAAGCAAAAGGCAGCATTATTAGATGCAAGAAATTCTAAAAATTGGCTTAGTTAGAAACCATATAAACACCTACTTCCTTACCTGTGACCATCGCCTGTAACAGGCTTTTGAACAAAATTAAAAAACAGGTGAGTCTTGCTTTGTTCTGAGTATAAAGAGAATTTTTTGTGGTGTTTAAACATATTCATATAACCAATTATATAAATCTAAGTATAAAGGCAGTCTGCAATAGGTTTTAAGGTGGCATTCTTCACCTTTATTGAATGTTACTAATTGAGTCCTGTTATACCTTTAGAGAGCAAAAGTAGTGATAGTATTTACAGATTGGAATTTTTTTTTTTTTTTTGGTTTTTTTGAAACACAGTCTCCCTGCAGCTCCAGCTGGCCTAGAACTCATTGTGTAGACCAGGCTGGCCTTGAACTCACAGAGACCCACCTGCCTTTGCCTCCTGAGCTGAGTGCTGGGATTAAAGGCATACACCGCCATGCCCAGCTGGAATTTCTGTTTCTAAAAAGATATGTCACTATTCCATAAGCCACATTTGCTTATATCAAGACTATCCAACAAGAATATTCTCTTAACCATTTGTATTCTGAATTCTGGCACATGAATTAAAATCATGGTACACATTAACAACCATGAGACTTGTTTTATAATAAATAGGGCAATGTGTGTGTCGGGGGGTGCTGTTAAGAACACTTACTATTCTTCCAGAGGACCAGGGTTGGATTCCCAGCACTCACATGGCAGCTGACAACTGTCTGTAACTCCAGTTCCAAGGAATCTAACACCCACTTCTGGCCTCTGCAGGCATTTCATGCATGTGGTGCATTTACATACATGCAGGCAAATCACTCATAAGATAAAAATAATAAAATATAAATAGATAAATGTACAACTGAGACAAGCACTGTACTACTGAGCTACATCCCCAGCCGAGATGAATCTTTTCAAAATGCAAACCTTGTTAAGCCACTTTGGTAGTTACAAATCCACACCAGTAAAGCCTGGCTTGGATGCTCAGCCTGCTTTCTAGCCATGCTAAGTATGCTATTTATTTATTTATTTATTTATTTATAGTCTTTTTGAGACAGGGTCTCCTTATACCTCCAGCTGGCCTAGAACTCACTATGTAGACCAGACTGGCCTTGAACTCACAGAGATTGCCTGCCTCTGCCTCCCAAGTGCTGAGACTAAAGATGTGTACCACTGTGCCAGGCTGTTCATAGCCTTTTTTAAGATAAGCTGTTCAGTCTGCCCTTTCTCCCTCCTTAATCCTGGTGAAGATCATTTCTTTCCAGGGCTGCCCTTTTTGGGATTCGAACCAAGTCCTCCATCAGTGTACCCACTCCACAGGATACCTCTGCTTTGTTGGCATCTGCATAACAGAATCCAGCAGCCTGACATGTCCTCAACCCAAATAGATCATGACGATTTGGTCCAGTCTTGTGCTTTCCTCCCTTCTCCACAGTGTGGCACTGGAACAAACCCTTCCTGCCTCTCTTGGCATCACCCATGTATAACGCACTCTCCATCACCAACACCACAAGTGTCACTGACCAGAAGCTGGACATCCTGCTGTCTATGGTTGTAACATTTTAAACTGGAAATTCTAGGTTCACATTTGCTAAATCGTTTAGGTGCGGCCACTCTTACTGTCACCAGTTAACTTGAGTGCAGCGACCTCAGAACTGGAAGGTGTTAAGGCTCAGAAGGAAGTAGTGACGTGATGCATAATATCTGCTGTGCATGCAGAAGGGCTCTGGTGACTGCCTGGCCTGGGATTTGTCTGCTTTCGCAGGGCTGGGATCAAGCCCAGATCCTCAGGAATGCAAGGCACGTGTTCTACCACTGAGCTCTAAGTTTCTGATCCCCTTGTGGTACATCATATAGGTTATGGGACACTTGGTCTCAGGCACACTTTGGCTCTTCTTTATTTCGTTTGGTTCTCTTCTGAGTCGTATTCTTCACTGTAAAGCAGAGGATTGGGCTAGCCATCTTTTCTCTGCTTCCTTCTTACTTAGTCCAAAGTTTTATGGGTGCTATAAATTTGCTTGTAAAAAGTGGAAGGAAACGAAAGATTATGATGTTTCTAAGAAATAAGAGATGAAGGGGGTAGGGTATGTGGAAAATACTTAATTCCTCTCTTAGTTGTTTTTTTTAATTTTATTATTTTTATGTGTATGTATGTATTGCCTGCATGTAGATAAGCAATGCCCACAGAGGTCAGAAGAAGCTGTTGGATCCCCTGGGACCAGAGTTACAGACAGTTTTTAGCTACCATGTGGGTGCTGGGATTAGAACCTAGGTCTTCTGCAAGAACAACCAGTGTTCTTAACCACTGAGCCATCTCTCCAGCCCCTTAAAGTGACTTAGTTTTAAAAGTTGCGTCAAACCTGAACATTGTCTGACAACAACTTTGATATGGTTGGCTTCACCAAATGAGTTTCCTCTTAAGGAAATGCCCTTAAAGAGAAAAAACTAAAGAGAGTGTTTCTTCTATACTGGAAGAAAACATGAAGATTTCTCCTGTGTCCATCCACAAGACACTGAACGCGGAAGTCTCCCCAGTGTTCAGATGGTGACATTGTAACCCTCGAGATGATAGTCTCAGGAAGCAGGCCTTTGAGGGAGATTTGTTCATGAGGGCAGTTCTCTTTAAGATCAGTCTGTTATGAAGAGACATCCAGAAGTTCCGTGACACCTTCTACATGAGCCTATGGTAAGAAGCAGACTATCTACGAGAAGGGAGATCCTCACAGAAAACAAGTCACTGCCTACTTGATTATGGACTTCCAAGGCTTCCCAACTGTGAGGAATGGGTATTTGTTATTTTAACCACACAGCTTAGCTGTTTTGTTAACAGTGAAATGGGCTAATATATCATCATCCTTGACTTCTTTGTAACTTTTTTTTTTATCTTTTTGAGACAGGGTCTCCCTGTAGCCCCAGCTTTCCTGGAACTCACTATGTAGACCAGGCTGGCCTTGAACTCACAGACATCCGCCTGCCTCTGCCTCTGGCATGCGCCACCATGCCCAGCCTTTTTCTTTTTTTGGTCTTTTGAGACAGGGTCTCCCTGTAACCCCAGCTGGCCTAGAACCTGCTTTGTAGACCAGGCTGGCCTCGAACTCAGAGATC